TATGAAGCCCTCAGGGTGCCCCCTCTGCACCAGGCTGTAAAAAGACACAGCGAGCCTCGGATCGCGCCGAGAACCTCAACACTCAGAGCTCCTATTTGAAGTCCGACTGCCGCGAAAGTCGTCCACAATTAAGTGTCAGACTCACTGGCGTGAGGTGCCTTTTCTAGGTGCCTGCACCGCACCCATCTCCTGCGGAGATGATTCCTGCGCGCGCGGCCCCCCGCGCTGTCACCCGGCCGTCACTCGCGGCCAGCACACCCTGCCCAGCCACAGCGGTCCCACGCTTCCCAGAAATCAGGCCATCTGGTGATCTGGGGTGATTCTGGGCAGCATCACAACCCTTCCAACAGCTTCCATCTCAAACCGAGAATGAAGAACACGGAACAGAGTGTCTCGTTTACAGAGCTCCCCGCAGTGCCTGGTCTGTCCAGCACCACGCTGCATCCCTGCAGCCACAGCCTGGGACATGGGAGTGCAGGACGCTGCCAATACTCCGGACATGCAGGTTACATGCGTGCCCTGAAGTCTCCAGTAGCAATTCAAGGTCTCTGGTCCCACACACAGACCATCCTACACATTCCAGCACACTCGATGGCCTTACTTAGAATCAAAGCAATTAAAAAAAGAAGTCAACTCCTCTAATACTTCCATTCTCAACACAGTGACCTTTAATCAAACGGTGGCAGCTGCCTCAACACACAGGGAGGTGGGCTCCCGCCGGCACTGTCTGTGCCACCACCACTTTTGCACCGGGGCTCTTCTGGAGGATGGCTCACTTCTGGGGCTGTGTCAGCCTGCTCTAGCCGCCATCGCAAAGTACAACCGAGTGGCTTATAAATCAACATTATTTTCTTGCCCATGGTCCTGGAGGCTGGTAGTCTGGGAGCGGCCGCCAGCCACACTGGCTTCTGCTGCAGGCTGTCCTCTGGGTCACGGGCCTCATGTCCTCATGGGGCACACGCAGCGAGGGAGCCAGCTGGGGTCTCCTCCACAAGGGCACTAGTCCCACCCATGAAGGCTCCACCCTCATGACGCCCTCATGACCTTCTGTACTTTCCCAAGGCCCCACCTCTTAATACCACCATATTTGGGGGGTTAGGATTCCCACATGTGAATTTGCGGGGGGAGGCACCTTCAGACTGTAACAGGACAGGACAGGGACAGAATTCACAGAGATGCTTGCTTCTCTTGGGGCACATCTTCACACACTGATCAAGATGATTTTTTTTTTTTTTTTTTTTTTTAAAAGTTTTTTTTTTTTTTTTTAGAGAGAGATCACAAGTAGAGAGGCAGGCAGAGAGAGGGAGGGAAGCAGGCTCCCTGCTGAGCAGAGAGCCCGATGTGGGACTCGATCCCAGGACCCTGAGATCATGACCTGAGCCGAAGGCAGCGGCTTAAACCACTGAGCCACCCAGGCGCCCCGATCAAGATGATTTTTATGAGCAATCTTTGGTGGCTAATGTCCGCATCGGAAGGAATAGCTTGCTGGTTATTAAAGCCTGACAGGGTGAGAACAGGAACTACATCCTTTGCCAAAAAATCCAGCTTCTTTTAAAATCCCTGGCCAAGAAATAACTCAAACTAGTAACAACCACTTTACCCAGAATAACTGAGATGTCACTTAGCAGCACTTGATCTCTAGCCTCCTTTCTCCCCGGCCTCCCAGTGGGGAGGAGATCTGCTTCCACCCAGGAGCACGGAGAGCACAAAAATGTGGTGCTGTTCACTCCCTCTCAACCACTGGCTATTTTCCAAGGTGACTTCAGCAAATTAGTAAGTATTCGGTTTTGCGTTTATCAGTTCTGGTACAAAGGTGTTTTTTAAAAAATTCTTTAATGGATACACTGAAGATCTCATTACTTCCAAAACGTATATTCACACACATTACCAAAGCCCACCTTTAATGTAGCATCGTCCTAGGGCACACGGCGAAATCTATTTTCATGACAGGCCGTCATTCATCATCGTACTAGTTCTGTGACTTTTAACAACCCTAAGTCCCTTCTTGTCTCCAGTTATTATAATTCAACAGTGATCAGGACCAAAGCCCCAAGTCCCAGTCATTTTAGAGGATGTCTTGCCTAGTCACAAACGCTCCCTTATATCCAAATGAAGAAGAAAAGTAACACCAGGTCACAGTGTTTTCGGTCTACATTTACCAAGGATGCCAAACACACTTCCGCTCTGCAGCTCGACAAGCCCCTCAAACCTGCCTCACGCACATGAGTCCCAAAGCGCGCGCGCGACTGCAACCTGTGGCTCCAGCAGCACGGTCCTGTGCTAGCACTCGGGCTCCCACGGGGCCGCGGGCCGTGACTGCGCACAGACCACGCCGAGTCCCAGGACCGGCCGTGTTGCTGACAGGGAGGCCAGTGTGAACATTGCTTGCCAGCACCAAGGGCTACGGGTCGGGCAGCTCTGAGCGGAGACCCGCCGGCGACCCGGCATGGGTTCACTATGCATCACTCATCAGCCTCTCCTGTAAAGACAGCACCTGCCAGCTGGGCCGAGGTGAGGCTTCTGGGCCCTGTGCCAGGTCTGGGCTTGTCCTCAGCAGGAGCTGTCCCTGGTGGTCTGCGGCCCAGGCAAAGCATGAGGGCACGAGAGGCTCAGAGCAGCTGCCTCCAGGAACAAGTCTGAGCATATGACCTCAAATAACTCCCACAACTTCACTCTCTCACCATTCAGGTCCCCTGCCTGCGTCCCCGTTCCTCTTCCTCCCCAGGGACAACGCACTGAGGGAGTTGCAGAGCCCAGGTACTGCAAGCGGCTCCTCGCTGCGGAGCAAAGGCAGCAGCAGCACCTTTCTCGGCTGTCACCCCCCACAGCCTGACGCCAGAACCTGCTCACGCACCCGTGGCAGACCCTGCTTGGCTGAAGGGGCAGGTGCTGTGGTCCAGTGCCCTGCAGTGCCTGTCCCCTCTCCCAGAACATCAGCAGGTCAGTAATATCCCCTCTTTCAGGACAAACTAGGCTGGTAAGCTCTCTGCCATCCTCCCCTCCAACCCCCCACCTGACAACAGTGACAGCCGTGGCTGGGGGCTCGCTGCAAGTCGTCTGCCAGCAAGTCCTCCTACCATCTCTCCAGGCTCTGAACACATTCTCCAGTGCAGAAGAAGGGGTCTGCCTGATTAAAACAGAGTTCCTCAAGCCACACGGAATCCCAAGCCATAATCATCCGGAGCTTTCCCTCGCTTCAACCATTTTCAAGTAACATTTTCTGGAAGTTTCCTGTGCAAACTTGGTCCACTCTCCCAGGAAAACCACTGTCTAGAATTTCACCCTGTTTAGAGTGTTCTCTTGTTTCCAACTTTGCCTTAGTGGACATGGCACAAGCTACTAGAATGCCACGCACTGCACAGACACCTCTTACATTTCTTTGTAACAACCACAAGGAGGGGACCTGAAGATGAGACACGCCCAACCTCACAGCACGCTCACACCCCAGCTGTCCCGAACACGGTTCAGTGGCAAAGCCATTCTGCTGCCCTCAAGCCTCCTGGGGCCCCCGTGTGAGGGGAACCACGGAGCTTGCTCATGGGACCCAAATGCAAAGACCACACAGATTCTGGGAACCAAAATACAGGCTGTCTGAAGAACAGTTCTCCCTGACAATCTTTTCTCCTGTGATAAGCCTTTAACAGGTAATAAGAGAGTAACTGCGGTCAGTTACATACTTCAGAGGCTGTCCCCCAGGTGATCCCAGAACAGCTGGGAGTCGGGGTCGCTGTGCTCAGAGTAAGAGGCTCAGGAAATCGCCAGCTTCGGCACGGTCAGTTCTCAAGTCTCCGTGCATTTCACAAGAATATGTAGAGGATGAAATGAAATGAAATGAGGTCAACATCACCAAAGGGTATAAAAAAGGATTATTCCTCTAAAAGAGTAACTTATCAGGCACCTGGGTGGCTCAGTTGGTTGAGTGAAGGCCTTCGGCTCAGGTCATGACCCCGGACTTGCAGGATCTCGTCCCGCCTCGGGCCCCCAGCTCCTTGGGGAGTCTGCTTCTCCCTCTGACCTTCTCCTCTCTCATGCTCTCTCTTACTCATTCTCTCTCAAATAAATAAATAAAATCTTTAAAAAAATTTTTAAAAAAAGAGTAACTTATCTATCTCATAGGAAAACACAAAGTCAAAACCAGTCCTCTAAATCTGGTTAAAGCAGAGAGGAACAGAGTACCACAGACTTTCAGAAATTTTTAGAAACTCCATGTCCTGCTCAAACCAACTTTAAAAGTTATTTATTAAAGGGTGCTGCAGCCCTCACTGCCCACCCCACCCCCCGCAAAAAAATCCAAGCTGGAAAAATACGAAAAGGACCAACATGCTCACACAAAGGAAAATGGCAATGGGGAGGGTCCTTCAAAAATAAATTCCTGGGGCTTTAGGGTATTTTAAAAACCTGATCACTAATTAAAGACTACACAAGGCAAAGAAACATCTATTCAGGGTCACCTCAAGGGAAGATCAACAGAACTTATCAAAGTAAATCAGCTACAACACAGTATAAGTAATGCAACAAGAGAACAAAACTTGATTTCTCCGAGTTTGGGGCGTAGGGTTTCACAGGCCCACAACCACTCCCCAGTAGCTCAAACAGACCCAAGACGACACGGACAGACATTCGTTAAGTCCAGCCCCTCGGCTGCCTCCACTCCATGGCAGAAACACTGGGGCTCCAAGAACAGAGAAAAGGAAAGTTAAGTCTAGCTGGCTCCTGAAGATCACTTAAACTCCTTTTTCCAAATCCACGAATATGCACATGGGCTCAGACTGGGACAGGGAGGTGGGGAGGAGACCAAGGGTTTCAGGAAAATTGTGCTCTTACAAAATCCGTACTCCACAGATACAAGACGGTTCGAGCTTATGTCTTGAGAGCTTTCTTCAGCAGAATTCCCCAGCTGTAAACGTCCAGGTCTTTCTCCACTGCCCAAACGGAAATGCAAAATTTCTCCTTTTGGGAGAGGATTATGCTGGAAATTAGCGTTGCATAAATACCGTTACCTTTTCTGGTGAAAAACTCCTTGGAATATTTCCCCAACATAGCGTATTTTCGAGGGACTTTCCCCAGCAGTTCAATGATCAATGCTATGTGATCTGCATTGGGAAACATTGCCAGCAAAACAGAAACACACGACAGTTTAATCAGTACACTGCATGCGGACACTGCTACCGCCCGCGCAGACAGAAACAGAGCGCCACCTGGTAATGCGAGCACAGATGCACGGGGCGACCACAGCCCGGGGCGAGTGCGGTCTGCCCTCTCAACTTTTAAATCAGCAGAGGAGTTTGGCTAGGTTGCTTTTTGAATTTAGGAGACAGGTCTGTCACCATTAATGCTACGATCAGCAGCTGCTGTCCCGTTTCTGTCTGCATCATGGCGCTTTTCAAAAAGATGAGGTACTACCTCTGCGATTGAAGAATTCCCGAGAATATTTTCCAGACAGAGCAAAGTGCCTTGGGATACTGCCTAGCAGCTCTATGATGTGGGCTATGTGGTCTATGGAGGAGAGAAAAAAAAGGATACGGGAATGGGAGGGGCAGAGGGAAGGATGGGATAAAAGAAGAGGGGAAAAAATTGAAATTAGTAAAAAATCCAAAATAGATTCAAATCAACAATGTCTGCGCATATCCATGCAGAGGCTCCTGGGGCTGGCGGGCCTCAGGCACCGTCTGGAGCATTAACGGTGACTGGCCCCAGCTCACCCCCAGGCCACCCCAGCATTGCAAGCAAATAAGCATGGAGATGGTCAGGTTTACAGATGGAATTCAAGCCAGAATTCCCCGGTTTTCAACTCAGCTCCCCAAGAGGACAGAGAAATGGGCAGCAGACTGGTGGACACAAGGACTACAGAGAGGCTCTGCGGTTCCCACAGCCTGTCCTCTCCTGGCCACCGGGCATCAGGCCCAGGGCAAGCAGGAGGCCAGGTGAGCTCGGGCCAAGGGCTCTCCACAGAGCTGCACATCCACTGTGCCCAAGGGGGCTTCAAGCTCAAGGAAAAGTGACTGAATTGGGCGTTTGAAAACCGGAACACAGCTCTCTTTCAGTATAGAAACACATTACTCTCCAGAAGCTCGGGTCTCTCAGGAGACCCCGCCTGGGATGCGTGGTAGACAGCACTACTCACCTTCATCTCTGGAGTAGTCTTCCCCGGAATGTGGTTCAAACAAATAATCTCCTGTTGCCAGCTCAAATGCCTAGGATACAACAGATGACATGCTAAGCACTCCGTGAAGCGGCCCCCAAGGCAGCAACTTTTTCTCCTTGTACAAGAGACCTACATTTTATGAGGATCTGATCAAACCAAAGGGCCTTCTAAAAGAGTTCAACACTAACTTTTTTCTTCCCTCCAAAAAGTACAAGGAAGTTTCAGAAATACTCTTCCATTTCCTCTCTTGGAGGATGTCAAGTCTACGTCCTCCCCTCATCCTGCAAGAAGCACGTCGGCCAGGTCTGCCGGGGACCACACCCCCCCTCTGAATGGCAGGACTGGATTCGATTCAGGACCAGGGCTGACTCATGCCTGCCCTCCGCCCACAGGCTCACCCAGCCCCTGGCGAGCAGGTGAAGCAAAGACCCTCGTGTCTTGGTAACCAAGAGCTATTCCCAGCGTCTCATCATTTCTTTCACTTCTGACTCAACCAAGGGAAACCCAGAGCCACAAAGAAGGCTCTGTGGCTCCTTCTCTGGGCCCTGGGCCGGGAGGACCCCGGGGGGTAGAGGGCAGGGAGAGCTGGCCTGTCTCCTGGGTTGCCACTACCTGCCCCCACACCTGCTAACTGGTGGGGGAGGCCACGTGTTTCCGTTTCTGCCAGGCAGTCTTCTCCCCCTGTCCTCAAAAAACCCCTCAGGACCACGAGTTTCATCTGCTAACGGTATATAAAGATGGCAACTGCTGCTGCTGTGCAGATCCAATACCATGTTCTTAAAATCTTTTTTTAAAAAAGAAAAGGCTCAATCCTATTTTTGGTTTTTGTACACTTCTATTCTGTATTAGATCTTGCTGTTCTGAAAGGCACTCAGGGGCCCTGCCCTCCCACATCCCCCATCTCCTCCCCAGGCTCCGACCAGGGTGCAGGGCAGGGCCTCCACCACAGCCTGCCACAAACCAGGGGTGGGCACAGGCGGGCCACGACCAGACTGCCTCCCCCACCTTTTTTTTAAGGAAAGGGGGTAAATGGGGTGACAAGATGGTCGTCAGCTACCCTATGAGAGTACCAGTTCATGAACTCAGAATCCCGCAGGACCTGGACACACCCAGTGTCAGGTCACGCAAGTGCGGCAGAGCCGCAGAAGGTCCTCACCTGGGGCCTCTCCCTTCCACCCAATGAACAAGAAATACCTACTGCAGATCAGGGCACAAAACCTCACACGTGGCCGCGAATGCAAAGGGAACAGTCGGATCTCATGTAAATGGCCAGAAGAGTCTTCCTCACCTGGGACAAGCCATGAGGAAGAGGGGAGACCATGAGGAAGCGAGGAGCCTCTGCGGAAGCCCCGAGGATGGTGCCTGGGCTGCTCCTGACCCCGCCCTCGAGCCCTTGCTCACTCTTCTAGTTCGTTTTCAAGAACATTTCAATCGGGCAGAGTCTACTTCTTACAACCCAACACAAAGATATTAACTGAGTATTCCTTGAAAGATGACCGTTCTGATTAGCACCCATGTTATTTCCAGTGAAACTCTCAAATCAAAGAAGCCCCAAAGAAAGGATTTAAAAGAAAATAAGGAAGAGGAAAGGTAAGCTGGAGGCTGTCCTGTCGTGCTATCTGGTCCTAGTTCTCTGAAGAAGGATGAGATTTTCTTAACAAAAAGGACCTGTTCAACAGTGCAGAGGCAGGTATTGGGTGGGAAACGTTGGCCGCCGTGCTTTCTGGCTGGCTTCCGTGGCGGTAGCCACGAAACTGTGGAAGATGATTGCCTTCCACTCACCAAGTCCCTCCAATACAACTTTTACTGTTACTAGTTCAATACTCAGGAACTGTGAATGCTTTCCTCCTTACCTGACCAGATCCCCTATCAGGATGGCCACCACACCAAACTCTGTTCTCAGGTTCTGGGAAGAGCGCACACTTCTTTCTTGGATGCCCTTCCACACCACTCTAAATCAGTAAGGTTGCCTCTTCTTTCTGAGATGTGACCAGTGCTGAGGAAGTCGGGTGACATCTGTCAGACTGGCTTTTCCTACTTCTAGGGCACTCACTGGGGCCCCCTGCCGAACCCGAGGAAGTGCCCTCTCCTGGGGCTCTGACACAAGTCCAGAGCACTCCACGCCTTGGCCCGCACGGAACTTTTACATCACATCCACTTCCATCTGGAAGGGTCCCAAAAGTCCAGAAAAAGACAAGAGAATCAACAAGTGGCATATTTCAGTTACTCTGCCTTGTTCTGTTGTCCGTCCTGACAACAGCGCAGGCACTCATCACTGAGCTTGAGCACCAGCTGTGCGCGGGCGCCCTCAAGTCCACCGGGACGTGTGCGAGACTGAGCGCCATGATGCCATGAAAGGACCGCACACCGCACCCCCCACCAGGCTGGAGCTCCAGTACAGCGTCAGATCATGACTTTAATGTACTGTCGTACTTCCAAACTTCAACACAAGCAAGGACTGGGAAAAACTGCCTTGTGTTTACCAGGTCCTCTAGGAAGAACAAAAGGGACCTCTCAGCCTCACCCTCCGGGATGGAAGGTGGGGGTGGGGAACAAGGCTTGTCCCCTTCCAGAAAGAAAAAAGAAAAAAGAAAAAAAAAATCACCCTGGTGACAACCAACTGAATTTAAAACTTTAAAAAACCCTCCAAATAGCCCTCGAAGCCCTGAGGGAGTTACACCTACTCTGGGGGAGGGGAGACAGGAGAAAGGAGACAGGCTGCTACTTCTGTGCCACTGTTTACAGGAGTGGAAGTGGCCAGGATGCGGATACCGTGTGAGGGGACAAGTCTGGACTCATGGAAGACAAGACAGACAACGGGTATAGAAGTATTGTGACAGCTCCACCATTATTCTCCTACCTCTGCGATCCTGTCCTATTTTTCTGGTTATATCACCAAAATTTAACACCCCAAATTAGAAGCACAGGATCTCAGAGTTGAAAGAGCCTTCAGGATCTAATTCAGGGCAGCCTGGTATGGTCCCTTCTGTGTTGCTGGGGACATGTAAGGCTTGACCTCACCACATCCTGAAATGGAACATTTCTCTCCTTCCTACTGACCTCAGCTCCTGCCGCTTCCAGGCCCCCCGCCTCCCCCCACGCTCCAGAGTCCCGTTCCTCCCTGCACAGCAGTCTCCAAATTCAAAGCAGCCATCACAGACCCACCAATTCTTTTCACCATTCTTTTCCATACCTAGCACAGCAAAGACCTAAGTTCTGATACTCACCGAAAAACTTAGTTTTAAAAATTATTATCTAGTATAATTTGTCAGAGCAAAGTGGGAACAGAAAGGCACAGTTGCGTTGGTGGTATAGTGGTTAGCATAGCTGCCTTCCAGAAAGGCACAGTTTCCAATCTATTGCCTGGGATCTTCGTAACTTTACACAAACATCTACTTTTTTTCATATCATCCAGCACCACGCTTTTTACTGTAGCATCGGAGGGCTTCCGGCACAGCCAACTCTGAAGAACTGTTAATCTCTGAATAACAATGACATTCATTCCTCATTGCTCTTTTTATTAGGTAGACAAGTGCCAAGTTTCATACAAAAAGCCTCTTGTTTTAAATATATCAGAGAATTTGGAGGAAAAAAATAAAGTTCAAGAAAAACATGAAATAGCACCCCAAGCCCCCCCACCTCCCCCCACACGCTCTGGCTGGGAAACAGGGTCAAGAAAGAGGAAGTGAAATTGGCTTATGGATGAGGGCCCACTCATGCTCATCAAGTCACAGGTCAGCAGTAAGTGAGAAAAAGGCCCCGGTGAGGGCCTGGGGCGCAGTGTGGACACAAGCAATCTCATGATGCAGCCAAGAAATGAAGACACATGGGGGAAAGAAGAGGCGTCCTGAGGCCCTGATGATATGCCGTCATGTTCTCCCTGGGAACAGACTCAAAGGGGATCGTGCAGCTGCTGTGTCTGGAAGTCAGTGGACAGCCTATAGCAATAAGCCAGAGTATTCTCTAGATTTTGCCTTACAAAAGAGAGACATTCCACACTGGCACAAAGGGAAATCCTTTCCTTTGCGGTAAGGACCAGGTCTGCCAGAGGTCACCAAGACGGGCTCCTGCCTTTCGACCTCAATCTTCCCCTCAGACATCACTGCCCCCTCATCTTCCACAGCATGAGTGTAGGGCAAACCTGCAGACGGCCTACAAACTTTCAGAAACCAGGAGGAATTACTTGAAGTGATTTTGTCTCCAGAGCAGAGGGTGTGGTTCTTGGGGTGGTGGCCTGAAGAGGGCCTTGAACAGAGACTGTCTATCTTAAGACTAAATCAGAGATGCCCAACCCCCAAACACGCCTGAGAAGAACTCAACTCTTCCAGTTCTCAACCACTCAAGGCAGCAAGCATGCCCTCTCCCATCCCGCGGTCGGCAAAATGCACGCCATGAGCTGCGGGGGGACTGTCCCATCATGAGCATTAAGGGGATGAGCCTTGCACAGAAGAGAGTGGCCAAGGCCGTCCTTACCATACACGCTGTGCTCCAGATGTCAGCAGGCGTACTGTAACCTGCCCCTATTAAAACCTCTATGGATCTGTACTGACGCGTCTGGATGTCTTCTGTGAAGTGTTTATGCTGCAAGGGAACACACTGCATTACCAGGGAGGAAAACAGGTGTTAAGAGCAGAAAATGTCTTCTAATATATGATCACGAGCAAAATGTTCTAGAAAGAAAACTCTTACTTACCACCCAACAAGCATTTCCCAGGTCGGCAATTTTAACTCTAATTTTCTCTGCGTTCCGCGGATCCAGGGGATTCACCAACAAGTCGGCCGCCCGGGTTTTTGCTGGCATGAGCAAACAGCAGGACAGTTAGTGTTGGGACACGGGGTCTGCATGCATGCACACAGGGCTTGCCGGCCACAGTCTCCTTTTCTAGACAAGTGATGGGATGATCACTTAGGCCTGGAACTCTGTAAGTTGACCTCAACAGAAATTTTAAATTCTTGGTCTCCATTCCTGGAAGATAGTTCATAAAAGAGAGCACACTGTGCTGCCCAGAAACCTCCCTGCTCTGGCCTTGTCCTTTCTCCTTATATCCTGGCTTTCTTCACCTCTAGGTTGACCCTACTCGGCTCCCTTTCGCGTTTTTCTAGCCTCCCCTCACTGCAGCAGAGCCCACAGCGGACCACATCGAGTTCACCGGCACATCACCACGTGAAACCTGAAGGTAGTGAAGACATGTCCTGAGGTCCGATCCCCTGTAAGTGACACATGTCCACCTGGTAACCACCTCACCTGCCTCTCCTTCCACTTGGGCTGAGCACACAGACCTCAAAGTTTAGGTGATGGCTGATTCACAAACACAGATGAAAGGCCACGACTAATCAGCTTGGGTTTGGCCCAGATTTAAACCCAGGGTGAACCCAAGAGAAGCTCAATGGCAGACACAGGGTCACCAGGCTTCCTAGCCCTCCTGGGCCAGAAAAGCTTCTCAGACAAGTCCAGACCACGCCTGTCTCAAGCACAGTTAACCAGCGGCAACTGACAAAGGAAAGCCACTGGGAGGGGCCCAGACAGAAAATCCTGAAGCGAGTAAGCGTCTTCAAACCTCCCGCTGACCAAAAGCTTGGATTTCTAGAGGGGATGAGTTATGACCATGGCTCTTATTTCCTGTAGAAGTCATTCTGAAATGGTATTTACAGACTAAACCGAAAAGTCCACTCAACGCAGAACATTAAATACCCCTTCGTTCACTCAAAGCTGCGTACTGCTAAAGCACACACAGCCTCCTTCGGGGACACCTGTGCCACAGAGCCCCAGGCTCAAGGGCACTCTGACTCCTGGGCATTCTCACACAAGGCCACCACGCTCACCTGTTAGCAGCACAGCAAGTAAGCAAGGCAGCCAGGAGCTGGGGCACCCACAGAGCTTCCCAACATCTTAACCCTCAAGACCCACTCCTCAGGCCTGTGGGTCAACGTGGACAGGCCAGGCTCATGTGTTCCCTTTTGGCCATCTGCCCTATGACCACTTTCTTCTAAGGATGCCCGTGTGCTGTGGGCTTCACCGAAGGCGGTCTGAGCTGGCAGAACAAACAGGAACTCACAAAGGAAGAGAAGGAAAGCAGAGACCCACATGAGGAGCAAAATGTTTATGGTGACTGGGGGGCAGGCAGAGAACAGAGCAGAGAAACATCAACACGCTGACCCAGTGGAGAGGGGGCCGCACTAGAAATGGTCAGACGAATACCGCATGTCACTCAGTCAAGGAGAGCCAGCAGGCAAGAGCATGGAAGCTGAAGTCTGCAGAACTGGGCTCCAGGGGTTAGAGCACTGATCTCGTGAAGTCTGTAGAACAGGATTCAAATCGAAGTTTCAACATCAACAAGTTATAAGACTCTGGCACGTGACTCAAATTCTGTGAGGCTCAGTGCTCCACAAAGAGGAGGAAGGGGCCATGCTACCCTCACCCAAACCAACCAATCAACATAGGAAGCCAGACCACCCTCCCCCCAAATCCCAGACAGAGGCTTCCACCAGCCAGAACCAAAGCCCCACTAGCAGAGAGCTGAGGAGAAGCGAAACAATTCCGATCGACAGTCTAAAGAAGAAGGGGCTGAAGCTCCAGTTCTGACTAGCCCAGAGTAAGTTGGTGCCCTAGGGTACTCGTGGGGAAGGAGGGGTCTGTGATCACCACCCATTCCCAGGTATTTATAAAGATGTCTCCCAGGAGCTACATTATTCAAGTAAGTTAGAGGAAATGCACTGTAAAAAACACAGCATCGCACATGTTCAATATAGTTTCTTTGCATTTAATCCCTCTCATTTATGATCACTAGACAAAGTCTCTTTGGTGACAGGTGGTTATCCTCCCGGTTCAGTTGGTCAGCAGGGACCCTGCTCACGATGCCTTCCAAGTAAGAGGGAATTCATTTCAGAACTTTAACTGGTGAAGAACACAAAGCAGGCTTTTAAAGGAGAATCAACTTGCATTTCTGACTTCCTTCTCTCAGTGTGATAATTCCCCAGGCCAGGGTACTTGACTGCAACCCTCAACAAAGCCCATTTAAACACAGGGATGCTCGTGCCAGCCCATTTAAACACAGGGACGCTTGTGCCTGCTGTGTCCTCATACCAACTTCGCTTGGCCCAGGAACCAGCCGGCTCCTCTGACTACATCATCACTGCAGTGGCCTCCCACAGCCCTTCCATGTTCTCCACCTCTGCCAGGAGGGGATGTAAAGTGGGAAGAGAGAGGTGGGAGAGGTCATTTCAGGAAGGACTGGAGCTCTCAAATCCTCTCTGATGACCTGGTATCTGAGGGACGCTGTTCATTCCACGTGAAGCCATCTTAGAAAGGAGTGAGATGGCAGCGTGATTCCTGAGTGACCACGCAGCCGTCCCCGCTCATCTGCAAGGTGCTGGGCTGGGCTCACGCTCTTTATTGTACTTTAAAACGTCCTCACAGTAGAGGCGTGGATACCCTGTCGATAAGTGGCTCCAGTGCCAGGCCCAGGAAGGAGCAGCACTGGGAGAACTGAATGCCCGAGCCTGGTCCATTCATTCACCCAGTATGTACCGAGTCCCTTCTGTGTACTATCCTGGCACTCAGAACAGCATGAACAAAATGTGTAAGGCTCCCACCACATCCCAAATGAGGAAACTCACATGTCAGTAGGCAATGAAGTAAATAAAATGGTGGAGTCACATGCCATGTCAGAGAAGAAAGAAGAAAAACAAAGAAAGGAGATGGGACAATGAGGGTGTGCAGGGGACGTCTTTCCAGAGACGGTGATGTGTGAGGAGAGGCCTGAACAAAGGGAGACACAAAGGGCGAGAGGCTCTGGGAAGAGAGCCACATCAAGTGCGGAGTGCCAAGAAGCAGAAACAAGCTTGCATGCTCGAGAGCCATGAGGAAGGAGCCATTGTGGGAGGCGGGGCGGGGGGGGGGCAGTGCCAGAGAGCGAGCTGCCGGAGAATGGGCTGCAGAGAGCTCCTGAGCTTTACAGAGTGTGATGCCTCAGAGTGTGACTCTGAGTGGAACAACACTGGAGGTCCTGGGGAGAGAGCGGGAGGGAAGATGACAGGATGTGCTTTGAAAAGCTCTCTGGACTGCCCCACAGAGGACAGGCCGGGCAGCAAGAGTCACAACGAGGGCAGCGACCCGGGTCCTGCTGCCTCAACCTTCAGTGGCCACCCAGGCACTCCAGGGAAAAGTCCACACCCTTCCACCTGGCATGTAAGTTCTCCCTCCACCCTTTCCTTCTGGCCTTCCTCTTCTACTACGCCCTGATGTGTGTAAGCTCTGCTCTAACGACAAGGACCCACCAACTCTGAACACAGCCTTCTCTGTGGCCTCATGCTCACCCAGTGGTAGGGGGCCACCTGGCCGCCCTGGACCCTGCCCCTCCCACGCAGGCGGCTACCCATGGTTGTCGAACCAACACTGAGGGCCTCTGGACCAAGAATTGGATAATGAAATCCTGTCCCTGGTGTGTACCTTGAATTTTACAATAGTGGTAAGAGATTCGGATCAACATGAAAAACCGGCCTCGTATTTCTCCCTGACAGGACACTGATGCAGCAGAAAGGCTGCTGGGGACGGAGCATGTGCCAGACAGAAATTCTGGTGCTGAATGGGAAAGGCGGGACCGAGCGGAGAAGAAGAGAAACAGCCATCAGGGGTCTGCTCGTTAGTCCGTAAAGCGCTGACTGAGATGCCGAAGATACAAAGATAACGCACATGGCTCTCAAAGAGGTCACATCCTAGCGAGGAGAAAGAGAATGAAAAAAACGAGGGTTCAGCTAAGAGAAGCATGAGCAGTAGGTGAAGAGGGGAAAGGCAACAGGCCGGCTGGAGAGACCAGTCAGGGCCTGTGTGGAGCTGCCGGCTGGCAAAAGAGTGAAGTTGGCCAAAAAGATGAACCATGGATCCCAAGGAGGAAACGTTCCGAGCAGTAGAAAAAGCGTCAGCAAAGGCGCAGAAGCGTGAGCAAACATGCCATTTGCACACAGACACTCTTCCTTAGATCCTGCAAATAAGCCGGGGAGAAGCTATTATACTTGTGATCGTGGAACTCTCTCACCATTTACTCCTTTAATAAAGAATGTTTGCGTATCCACGTCCACAGAGACATGTTTATGAATTTTACATGCTACTGTTCCTATATATTCTGTACATGATAAAAGCTTAAAAAAAATTAAGTCACAAGAACCACTGGAGACACACTGACTCCAGCCTGGGGCAGGGAGAGTCTGAACTGGGAACGTGGTTCCGGAAAGCAAGGAAGCGTGCAAAAAATGATGGGGTCGTGTCAACAGGACAGAAGAGACAACTGGAAGAGGCTCGTGTGGCCCAAATTTGGGACAATTCAAGCATCAAACAACTAGAAGCTGTAAATGATTACAGACATAATCCAAAGTGTTTATCAGGAGAACGAAGAATCCACAAGCACATGCATGACAGGAAGGGACGTGTGAGAGGCGGCAGGGCGGGAGGCTCGCCTGGAGAGAGTGTGAACAGCCTCACCTTCTCCATCTCCTCCATCAGGCTGCTCCTGAGTTACAGCGTTTCGTAAGAGACAAGTGACCCAGCAAGCAAGCCGTTTTCCTGAGTTCTGTGAGCTGCTGTAACACGTTAACTGAACCTGAACCGGCTGACATGGGCATCTCCGAGTCAAGGCCCATGGGTCGAGAAGCACAGGTGACAACATGGGCTTGTCACTGGTGTGTGAAGGGGGTGGGGGTGTCTTGTGGGACTGAGGTCCTTTTTTTTTTAAGATTTCATTTATTTGTCAGAGAGAGACAGAGAGAGAGTGCACGCATCCACAAAGGCAGGGGGAGCAGCAGGCAGAGAGAGAGGGAGAAGCCCCCAGTGCAGGGCTGCATCTCAGGACCCCGGGATCATGCCCTGAGCCAAGGGCAGACACTTAACCAAATGAGCCACCCAGGTGCCCCTGGAACTGAGCCCTGCACCTGTGGGACCTGATGCTATCCACAGATGGTGTCAGAATTAAGCTAAATCGTAGGACACCCAGCTGGTGTCAGAAAAGTTTCTGGTGTAGGGAAAATGGCCTACATACCCATTAGGTGACCAAAGGTGTCAGAAGTAGTGTGTGAGAGCAAAGGAGACACACAGAAGTGAGGCTTTCCCTCGATGAACCCACCTTCCATGTGAGAGCATTTTATAAGCACCTTTGAAGAGTTCTTGATCAGGGTGAAAGTAAAAAGGAACAGGGTATTCCATCCAAGTAAGAAAAAAAAAAATAACCCACATCCTTAGGACAATTAGCTAGAGCCAATGAGGAACACAGACGGCTGTGCAGGTCTCCCCCCTGCGGGCCTGAGGGGCTGCGGGATTCCGTGGGCTCTTGCAGGGCTGGGTCACTGACGCGTCATGTGGTAAACTCTCTTGTCAGCAGAGGGAGCAGAGGAGGTTTCTGAGCCAGTCCTCTGCGGGCTGGAACGGAAACCATCCGTGATGCCCCGAGTTTGCTTACTGGGGCCCCTAGCATGACACGGGCAGAGCCAGGTCATGTGGCATTCACTCTCAAAATACGGGTTTGACAGAGGTCATCATCACATTAAAATCCATGCCACTTCCTCTAAAACGGTTTTAACATTTCAATAGCAGAGTTCTACAATCAGGAACAACCATCAAAATAAAATAAGAGAATTTTTCCTCAATACAGACAAAGAGCAGGTGTATTTTTTTCCCTGAATACAAACGAAATGAAACAAAACCCAAAAACTAAATATAACCTATCAGATGGAAGTAAAAATTAGGAACAACACACTCTATAAAAGCTACAGTACGTGTAAGCCGCTGGACTGGGAAGGTTTCCGCAACCGTAGATGTCACTAGTTACAGAAGGAGTAACAGAAGCTCCGAAATGCGACTGATACTCAGAGAGCGAGAGAGAGCCTATGTGGCACTGAGTACGTCTGAAATTACACCACAGATTCGGGAGCACAACAGAAACACGACGAGAACGGTTAATGCACACGTACATGATGTGACCATCTCCAGCCGATCCCCTTCACAGCGTGTGTCAAGAACACGACACCCAGGCCACTGTAAGCAGACACTGGTGGGGAAGGACACTTACTTTTTGGCAAATCTCCAGTGCTGGAGGCTGAAACCGTCCGGCTTCTGTCGTGGGATGGACTGCTTTCCTCAGGCTCGGTAAGTGGGGATCCCTCGGAAAGTGCAGAGCCACAAGCCACAGGTTCTAAGGGCCCAGAGAACAACGATGTGGAAAACTCCGGAAACTGTGACTCGGGAATTTTATGCCGTCCGTTTGGCAATTCACCGTTGAACTGTTCATAGGAGCTGCTGTACGTGTAATCGCTTTCTGCATTTTGCTCATCGAGGTTATATTCCTCGGGATTTGGGCAATCTTCTTCTTCTTCATCTTCATCATCCAGCTGCTGTTCCAGTAAGAACGGGCCATTCTCAATATGGCCATTGGTTTTGGGGGATTCTATCCACGCAGGGTCTGTGTTGGTCAATTCCTGTTCAACATCGTCTTCATCTTTCTCAGTGTTTTCTTTCTCGGTGTCTTCTTTCTCTTCCTGGTCCTCAGCCTCACCTTAAAAAGTTGATGGGTTCAGAATCAGAATGTGTCACTCTCCTTAACACAGTGGCACTAAGCACATACTTCCTCCAACAAGAGACAATTTTGAATGTACTTAATTTAATATACTTAATCCCTCCACCCATCCACCACCCCCGCCCCAAAGTAAGCTCTACACCCAGCATGGGGTTCCAACTCATGACCCTGAGGATCAAGTTACATGCTCCAGCTACCAGGCCAGCCAGGGGCCCCTGGATTTGCTTGATTTATGTACTACAGAGCAAAAGGCCTCTTGGCTCTCAGGGTAAGATCTGAGGTTTTCTAAATCTTATTTTTCATTTAGTAAATGACTGGCTAACTCTTATTAGGAAAAAGATTTGGGGAAAAATGACTATTTATAAATAGAGGTGCCTTTCCACTTCTACCCTCTCCTCTACAACCTTCTGAAAATGTCTGTGGGTACATTACTGTTAGGTTAAAGGTTAACTACAAAATAAAGAACAATCATTAGCACAATCAAGACATGGTGTCAAACTTTCTCCATTTTTAAAAAACTATTTTGAAATACTAACATATTTCTGGCATTCATTTTACAAATGAAGTGGCAGGTGGTTTGGTTTCCCATATTCCCCAACCGCGAGCTGATAAGAATCACCCTGGCATGTGAAGGAGGAGCACAAGTGAGCCTGTGCGATGACCCAGCGGGAGCCCAGGGAGGGAGCTGCAAGCCCCATGCAGACTGACCATTGTCGTTGGTGGGCTCGCCCTCGGCCGCGTCCTCTAAGCCGGCAGCTTTGAGTTTGCCCTCTGGGCCATACCCGTCGTCCCGTTCATTGGAAGGTGCCGCCAACGTGATGTTTTCTTCTATTATTTTCCTTTCGGCTTCTCGCTCCAATTCTTCTATTTCCTGCAGGCGCTTTTCCAGTAACTCAGCCTGCCTTTTTTGCTTCTTCTTCAGTTTTTTCTTTTTGTTCTTAGATATTTTTCCTATCTACATGTCAAGAAAATGCCACAGGTCAGTCTGCCTCTTGGGGAAGCACTACACGAGAGGTCCAGCGCCAGCGGCACAGCAAACACGGACAAGTCCTGTTTCCTCGGGGCTTATTCGTGACCACCAAATGCCCAGACACGACAGCCATGTCGTGCTTGTGGTTACAGTGAAACCAGAAAAAACAAGCCTAACATCAAGTAACGGGGCTACTAGCAGGCCCTGCCCTCAGAGGGACACAAGGCTCCCTTCCCAGAAGTCTGTTTCAGTTCAACTTTAAGAACAGAAAATGCTGAGACACTCTGGCCTTTGAACAAGCACCACCTCCGGCAAGTTCTATCTCCCGCTACCTCCACACAAACTAACAGTATGTCCTCTCCTTCCTGTCGTCCCTGACTCTCTGCCTGCTGACACAGGTGCCCTGCTCTGTCTACAGCACTGCTGGTGTTTGGGTCTCACACGCTGAGCTGCTACCAACAGCCAGGACCGCAGAAACGGTCAGCCATCAGCACACCAAGTCAAGGAGAAAAAGACAAAGCCACAGGCCTGGCCTGCCTCCGATCAGGCCACATGACTGGGCAAGTGCTAGCAACGACAGCCTCCAGTCTTGCCACAGAACCAATCCTCAAAACAAGGGGCTCAGACCACCACAGGCCTGGAGGCAACAACTTGGCACCTCAGCAAGCCGGGTGGCGGAAGTATCACAACTTCCTCTGGTCCTGGGACTTTCATTCCAAAGCTCAATTTCTTGACATTTCCTTTCAAATGCTTCTGGTTCATAAAGCTCTTTCAAAATTTCGCCAACTCAAGATCTACGTATTCTATCCTCTACTGGAGCTGAGCAGGTGGAGGGACACTGGGCAAGATTTCATTCCAAGTAGCTTGTTTCATACCACACACAGACAATACTCTTCCATACTTAACTACGGGCTGGAAAACAAACTGGGAGTATAAGCTTCAGAAAAGTAGGTATCTTAGAGGCAAATCGGAACTAATGTTAAGGGTTTTATAATAATCACACTTCAAGCTCTATCTAGATCATGTCACATTTCACCAGGCTCAGCCAACGGCATCCCAGAAAGTGCACAGGGAAAATGAAGATCAAACGTGGAAAAGCTCGAACGACACCAACTCTAAAAATCATAATCACTTCAACTTACTGAAATAGCAAGTCTCATAGATTCAAGGATACACACAAACACGCCTGTCTTTTGCATTACTATGTATTAAACATCTACAATTGAGAACATAACAAAACAAGGTATAACCATTCCCCCCCAAACCACCTTAAATGAAAAACTGTTGCAAAAAAGCAGAGACTACTGTTGTAACTTGAAAAGCTCGGTAAGGAACAGCTGCTTCTGACGCAACGGTGAATACAAGCGTACAGGTAAGTACTTACGGGCTTTTGCTGCGGAGCCGTACTCACTAAAACAAAATGAGACAAAATGAATGTTTAGAGGAAAACAGATCTGTATCTTTACGCAGGTAACCTGAACTGTAAAATGAAAGCAATTATTGCCTTTTAATGGCTATCCAACATCAAAGGAGCTAAACATCAGAGCTTCTTCATCATCGAGATCTAAAGAAAGCTGACCCAACTTAAATGACAGGCTCTGAAAAGGCACAGCAGCCGATGTTCCTATGAAGGCACATCTCTTATTTATCAAAAATTAAATACCCACTCATTTCAAAACAGGTCAATCCTAAACTCTGACTGGTAACTTAAGAAAACAGATAAGAGTTCACAAATGTCACATAGTCATCTAACTAAATTTGTTTTATTGACAATAAAATGAACAGTTTAGGAGATGTACATCTGTGTTTGAAAACTAGTTGGCAAGTCTATGCAGTGGAAATAAATCAAATATTCGAGAAATGCCATGACTGGTCTTTGCGGGCATCTTTAAGAAACAACCCCCTAGTGGGAAACAAGACGAGGAGGCAGTGCCTCTCCTGAGAGCCAGGTGAGTCACTCGACCATAGCCCCTCAGCGACACTCTTGCCTGACAACACACCAGGGGGCAAATCATGTGAAGAGATGGCGAGAGTGATCCCTGCGTCCCCACAGCCATTACACTCCGTCAAAACCAGACGGAAAACTCTAGATGCCGATACTCAAGGCAGCTGGCCTTCTCCCACCCTTAAGTCTTTTGTAACCGATTCCAAACCTCCAGTTAGACTCGGATCGATGACTAACCAGAAGCTAGGAAGCATTCTAACAAACCAGAGAACAGTTCTGAGGACTACAGGTTGCCACAAGCAAGCTGTTACTGTGCACCCCACCAAAGACGAGTGCGCAGCATAAGACAATGTTCCAACGTAGATGAAGCAGCTCGTAAGATTTCAAACGCTCTTTCAAGGGAGGATAAAGTTAAGCAACTCAAATATTAAAGCAGAATTTAATTGGGGCATCTTCCTTTTCAAAAAAGGTCTCGTGATGTCTAGCAATCAGACTCTTCCAAAAGTTCCTACGAGGTACACATTTGACTCAATTGCCTTCAGTGTGCAGCTCTGCCAGCTCTCGATACCCCCAGACAAACTGGAACCAGCCAGCTCGGCGCCCTCACCTGCAGACCCTGAAGGAGGAGGAGCACCTGCTTTCTGCCACTCGGTGGCCTCGGCTGCCATTCTTCTCACATACGCGTCATCCACACACATCAGGATGTTCTCTGGCTTTATGTCAGTGTGAATGATCTTGCACTTACTGTGCAGATAATCTAACCCCTGAAGGACCTGGTCGGAGTAAATCAAGAGAGGACAGGAGTTATTAATACCTTCGTTGTTCAACATTTGTAAAATCGGTAACATAATCACGTGGCACCAAATACAACAGGCATGAAGGCTGCTTCGTAAAAATCTGCCCCCGCCCCGGCCCGCAGAGCAGCCCAGTACCTTCCCATGAGCTACCGATGTGCATCGTTCTGGTGATTCTTTACGTTCATGGGAGCGAGCACACCTGCACATATAGTTTGTTTGTAACAACTTTCTTGAAATGTAAATTACATACGATTCACGCTTTCTGGTGTACAATTCAATGGTTTTTAGATGTGTACCATCACCACTATGTAAATTAAAACATTTTACCCACGGGCAGTCACTCTCCCTCTCCTCTCAGCTCCCAGCCCTAGGCAACCACGAGTCTACTTTCTATCTGCACACACCTGCTGGCTGTGAACACTTCATATAAACGGGATCTATAAAGTGGTCTTTTGTAACTGGCGTAACGTTGTAAAGGTCTGCCCCTGCATAGCGTGTACCTCCTTCTGCTCCTGTAATTGCCCAGTAATACTCCACTGGCCATGCCGCATCTCGTCGAGCCGTTCAACTCATAGGTATTGGGATCGTTTCCCCTTTTTGGTTCCTATAGACAGTACTGCTCTACACATTCACGTAGGAGTTTTTCTGCACACACACATTTTTATTTTGGGGGGGGGGGCGCATACCTGGAGTACAGCCGTTGGGTCACAGGGTAACTCTGGTTTTCTACAGCGGCCGCACCTCATCACATTCCCACAAGCAACGTAGGAAGGTTCCACCCTCCGCGTCAAGGCCTACACTTCGTTATCTGTCTTTTTATTTTAGTCACCCTGGTGGGTGTGATGTGTGATCTGCATCTCTGTGATGTTTAATGATGTGTATGAATTTTTAATAGCGCTAGAAAGGAGGATTAAACAGCTGTGGAATCCAGACCACACAAGAGCACCAAACCCAAAGAAACTGCTGGACCAGAATATCCACGAAAACTAAACCCACAAAACTTACAGAGTGCAGTGACCTAGATACAAGGTCACAGTATTTCTGGAATTCTTTCCATTAGAGAGGAATTCTTTCAATTCTTCCCATCAACAAAAATATATTTTTTAGGGGTGCCTGGGTGGCTCAGTGGGTTAAGCCTCTGCCTTCAGCTCAGGTCATGATCTCAGGGTCCTGGGATCGAGCCCCGCATAGGGCTCTCTGCTCAGCGGGGAGCCTGCTTCCCCCTCTCTGTCTGCCTCTCTGCCTACTTGTGATCTCTCTGTCAAATAAATAAATAAAATCTTTAAAATATATATATATTTTTAAAATATTACCATCATGTTCCTGTACATTATAAATTCTATATATAATATTTATATATTAAATATTAGCAATTAATAAATATCATCATAGTGGCGCTTGGGTGGCTCAGTGGGTTAAAGCCTCTGCCTTCGGCTCAGGTCATGATCCCAGGGTCCTGGGATCAAGCCCCACATCAGGCTTTCTGCTCAGCGACGAGCCTGCTTCCCCCCTCTCACTCTGCCTGCCTCTCTACCTACTTGTGATCTCTCTCTGTCAAATAAATGAATAAAATATTTAAAAAAAAATAAGTAAATAAATAAATATCATCATACACTTTAAATCGTTTAGAGGTCTTGTCCACAACAGACAAGGAAGTGGGAAAAACACAAGAAGCAGACACATGTGTTTCCAACTCTCGAAAGTTCTCCCCAACAGCCCCATGCTTCTGTCTGCTGTAAATGGCTAAGCAACCTTAATAGACAATAGCATTGGGAAATGAGGGGGCAGAGGTTCCACAAGGAAAATGAGAAAAGGAAAAACCCATCTCATAAACAGGATGACAATCTCTATACTCATCTAAAGTAACCTTCTCTGGGAAGGGAAGATTGACCAAGCACCATTCAAGCTCCTATAATAGCTCAGGCACCTAATTCCAGGTGTCTGACACACAGCAACAAACAAAGCTCCTTGTCTCCCGGGGCTTAGAGCCCCTCTGTCCTCAGAGAGCTTACTGTCTTATGCCAGGAGGAAGAAAGGGACTGGCCGAAAAGAAATCAAGATGAGAGGGTGCCTGGGTGGCTCAGTGGGTTAAAGCCTCTGCCTTCGGCTCGGGTCATGATCTCAGGGTCCTGGGATCGAGCCCCGCATCGGGCTCTCTGCTCCGCGGGGAGCCTGCTTCCTCCTCTCTCTCTCTCTGCCTGCCTCTCTGCCTACTTGTCAACTCTGTCAAATAAATAAAATAAAATCTTTAAAAAAAAAAAAAAAAAGAAAGAAACCAAGATGAGCATGGGCATAACAAATAAGTTCCTAGTAAACACCAAAAGAGTGAAACAGATAAAACCATAATAACAGAAGGTAAGGCACTTGGTTTTTTGTTTTTGTTTTTTTGCCTGAAAATTAATATTTAATGTTTGCAATGGTACTGCGATTAGAACTATTAAATTATGTTTAAAACATCAAAGGACGAGGAAGAAAAATTCATTATACGTTTCTATAAAGAATTAGGTTATAATCCAGATGCCTATATGTTATTCACTGACATTCATACATCTTCTTTGTTCAAAATGAAATAATATGGGGAATTTTTATATTTGAATAACAAGAGAGATTCCGAGAACTGCAAGAAATTAATGGACAGGAACAGTAATGATTTCTAACCTATGGAGGCAAAGGAACAAGATTTTTGAGAAACTTTAAACAGCTTAAATTTATTCCAACTGAAATTGCATTTCAGTGATCAAATATTAACTCAAAGTAAAAATGTCAGCATCTTCTCACTACCATTTCATGCCTGAGTCACTCCTGTCTTTCCAACCTGAGCTCTTTTGTGATGGTCTGGTTGTCTTACTGTGTGGGAGGCTACACAAGTAAGAGTTAATGTGATCCAGCATCCAGATGTGTTCATGAGTTCCCAATGAAAAGCAGGCACTTGAGATGAACACAGTGTTCTCAGCAAGAAGTTAAGGTTCCAGATTTTTAAAATATTTGCAATTGCATGCCACTGGGTTACCTTTCCTTAAGAAGCACAGCTTATAATGTCTAATGATGAACACAGATGAAGAATGGATTGCTGAGACAGATTAAGTATGTTAATTAAGATAATGCAAATCTTAAAGGAAATAACTGACAGACATAGCACAGTGTGGTGTTAAAACACAACCCTGGGACTCACCCACTCCCAGACTGCGGCTACATCACACACTCATTGGGCAAGGTCCGCACACTGTCTGAGCCTCCATTTTCACATTAAAAAATGGGAGGAATGTAGCTACTAAGTAGAAATATGGTAAGAGTTACTCTATGGAAAATCTACAAAAAAAGAAGGTCTAGCTCACAGGATGCTCAATAATGGGAGAACTGAACTAAGTCAAAACACTTATATTGACATCAACAAAATAACTCTAACTTTGCTAAGTCACTTATTAAACTTTTGAGTCTCTTTCTCCCACCTAAGAGTGGGTTATCCCTGATAAATTCTGTGGTACATCCCAGCAATGAAATTCTAACGCCTTAATTTAATCCCGAACTATAATTTTTTTATAAAATCTCCAGATGTAGACTAAAAAGAATGGCTATTTTAAAAAATAGCATTTCTCTTCTCAGCCAGTGAAGTTTAAAGCAATAAAGCACCCCAGAATCCAGAATAAACAGTAATGATGGGCAATCTCATAACCATTTATGCAGAATAACTAAGATGATGCAAAATAAGAGAAAAGCAGTGAATCAAGCTTCATGCCCAAGGACAGAGCTCCTCTTGCAAAATCTGAAAAACAGAGTTAAAAGGAGCCTTTACTCATTTTCTGTGTTTCCAGCACTTGCCAGGCCCAGTATATTTCTTTCTTGCCTAAAAAATACTTCGCCTCATCAGCAGGAGGCAGCAGAGGCTGCAGAGAACCCTGCCAACTGGCTGCTGGAATCTAAGCCGCCAGGAGCGCTGAGACCAGTCTGAGCACAGCCGGGCCTGGGGCAGGGCTGCACCTCATTTAGAGGAGCTGGATCACACCCTCGGAAGCAGGGGCCAGTTCTGTGAAGTTGGACGGGCAGGCTAGCAGCCTATCAGTGAAGGCAGAGCCCAGGCCTGGGAGCCAGGAGCCCCCAGTTCTGCTCCAGATACTAACTAGTTATGGCTCAAGCAAGTCCCCTTCCCTGACCTCAAATTCATCTGTAAAGTAAGGGGCTTGGTCAGACAGTCCCTTAGGTTTCTCTCTGTACACCTATGAAGATGGTGGAGATGGTCTGCTGCTGGTGTGATTGACATAAAGCTGCTCCTCTTGCAGCATGCTACAACAGTCCCATGATGCTGCAGATACAACAGCAAGAGTGAGCTGAGAGGAATGTGGGAAATTCCCTCAAAGATGTCTTCTGGGCCCTGCTCACTCCCCAGAAAATGAAGCTTCCTTCAAAATCCTAAACTGTAAAGAGAAACAGAATGAGAGCAGCTTTCTAAATTATTTTCTGACTCTGGTCACCACATGGGGACTTTCTTCCTTCCACACCTGAACAAAGGACACAGGGCGAGGAGATTTGGCTGGGCTCTTACTCTGTAAGGCCTTACTATGCAGCGGCCGGGCCAACAGACAGCAGGAGGGGCTGGCCCACGCAGGAGCCCTTCGACAAGATACTAACACCGGGTGGTGTGAAGGAAAGCACACCTGATGATTCTCCTCAGGCCTGGACACTTTCTACTAGGAAAGCTAAGGCTCCCACTGGATTTCTTTTCTTCACTGAACAGACATGAGGTAAACCCTACAAGCTGATTCTGACAATTCTGACAATTAACCCACTGAGCTACCCAGGCGCCCCCAACTCTGACAATTAAACTGAATGGGGAAGTGTGGGGATCCCCACTCGGTGGAAAGGGTGGGTGTGCACGCACACACAAGTTTCAGTGGACACTGTGCTTGTCTCCTTTGACACAAAACAACCTTCTACCCCGTGTTCTTTTTTTTTTTTTTTTTTTTAATTTATTGATAGAC